CACAGTTCTCACTAGGCATAGAGCAGGGATCTTGCAAGAAGTAGGCCCTTTGATTCATCTTTTCTTTCTCGGGTCAAGGCTGCATCTCCCTCTGCGTGTGGCTCCGTCTGACTTTCAGAGGCCACTCCCCTAGCGGGGAGCGTGGCACAGCCCTGTCGGGTGAAAGGCAGCCAACACGGACACCACGTGGTGTCCCCAGCGAGGTCCGAGCTCCACTGGGAGCCAGCCCAGACGCCCTGCATGTATCAGAAGACCCAGCACAATTGGCAGTGACAACAGGACCTGCCTACAGAACAGAATGATACCAGTGACAAGCGTGCGTTTCCCAAAGTTTCCCAGAAGCCGTGACCACAGTCTCGTCACGGAAGAAAGCACAGGCGTCTCTGTCCTCTCAGGAGTGAGGCCCACGGCTTTAACCACGGCGATCGCCCTTTTCAAATCACTGAATGGAACGTCCAAAACCAACTTTGAATTCTGTAATTTGAGGAGTCCTGATTTTATTACATACGGTCACCCCTTGCCAAACACTGCCTCCACCTCGCCTTTTCTTACCCACGCCTTCCCAAATAGCACCTTATAAGATGAATGTATTTGGGGGTTCAGATAAACACAGTTCAGGAAGGTTCTGGTCCAAGGCAGAAGGCTCACCCTCAACGAGCCACAGAGAACGTGGCAGTCACGGTGCTCAGTGTCCGTAACCGGACTCAGCTGGCTCCGGCCCCGCTGTCAACGTTCAGTTCGTGGTGTGAACACGTCTCCCTGCTCGTCCTCACACTCAGAAGTCGATTCCTTGCTCGAGTGGCGAGTTCTTTCAGAGACCGAGCCTGTGTGGAGGGGATAACCGAGCTCCTCCCGGGGAACGAACTTTCAGGAACTCAGAACCACCAGGCTGGACGGCTGCCGGCTCTGCCAGTCCCTCCGCCAGTCCCTCCGCCTCTGCTCCGCTCTTCGGACAGCGCCAGCAGGTCTGCCCGCTGGAGCACTGAATTACGTTCCAAAAGGACAAAGGAACCACCCTGGGTCACAGGGATGCGACTATCTCAAGGCCTCTTGGAGCAAACTCACCCAGAGCCACCGTGGCTCTAAGAAGGATGACAGGACGGACCCGAGAAAGTGCAGGGGTCAGGCCCGAGGGAAACCGAGCTCCATCACTGTGGGCGGAGAGGGAGCTGTTACCACACTCAAGGCCTCCCGGGCAGAGGGCCAGGTCCAGCAGAGGGCAAGAAAGGGCCTAGAAAAAGTATGGACTTCGGAGTCCATTGAACGGGGCTCTGCCACGCCCTAGATGGTGATCTTGGCCAAGTTACTAAATCTCTCTGGACTCTGGTATTAATTCTTTGAAAAGGAAATACTATTACAGGTCCGCGATCCCTCATGCACATTTCCAAAATCCAGGAAAAGCTCCAAAACCAAGTTTTGTCATAACTTATTCGGCATGAGGCTCTTCTTAGTCTTTATTTATTTATTTATTAGTCTTTATTTATCCCAGTTAATGGAACTAACTTTTTAAGTTTTACAGCAGAAATCTACTTTCATGACAGGGCACAGCTCCAGACAGGGCACCTGAGTGTGTTACACAATAGTACATGCATTGTGCTGATTTTCTAAATAACAGGAGATATACTTTATGGCTTTTCTAAAATCAGAAAAATTCGGAATATATCTGGCCTCAAGGGTTTGGATAATTTGTGTTACATCTCAGAGGCCTGCTGCAGGATTGAAATGAGAACATAGCCCTGGCCAGTTTGGCTCAGCGGTTGGAGCATCGGCCTGCGGACCAGAGAGTCCCGGGTTCAATTTCTGCTAGGGGCACGTACCAAAAAAAAAAATGAGAACATGTGTGTGAAATAACTAGTATAGGTCACAGCTTTAAGGTCATGATAAGTCATAGCCCCCATGATTAGGCTTGTGTCATCAGAGAATGTCCAGGAAATACGGTAGTAGACACAACCCCCAGTAGGATATGACACATGAAACAAGTCGCCAAGCTCTGCTTCATGAATATTGTGCTGACATAAACATTTTTTTTCCCTGTCTCGGACTTTTCCTTTGATATTTGAAGAAAATAAAGGGGAAAAAAACAAAAACAAAACACGGTCAATAATCTTTAAAATAAAATAATGATCATCGCATATATATCATAATTCAAACTGATAACAGAAGTTGAAACTCCTTGGAAATGTTATTTAGATAATATCCATCACTATCAATCTTTCCATGCACTAAAAGACATGAACAGATACTCTGAGTTATGGGACTCGGTAGTCACACCTTCTTTACCACTCCCCATAGTGTCCCACTGGGCAACTTCACTGACATGGTAGATAATTCAACACCTGGTATGAAAACAAAAACTATTTCTAAAAAAAAAAAATCAAACAAAAACTGAAGCTAATCACCTAACTAACTGCGTGTCCGTCATGTCTGGAAGTCAGAAGTGAAACCAGCCTAACTAACCATAGACTACGGGCACTGTCTGTTGATGCCCTTCATTTGAAAAGACATTAGAAAAAGTTTTAAATTGTTAACTTCAATACAATGTTTGGGTTGTCCTCCCAAACTCACTCTTCAAGGGTGTTTTACAGCAGTGTGTGGGTTAGACCTTCAAATCAGGCCTGGACACCTGCTCAAGCGCTTTACTCTCCACTTCTGAGAACCATCAACAGAAGGTGCACGTGTGCTCATTCTTGGGAGTACGCTCTCTCGCGTAGCCATCCAGATGGCAGCATGCCTTCAGAGACGCCCAGAGAGGAAGAGCTCACAGAGGCCGGAGGGATGAAACCGCTGAGGCAGGACGACGGTGAGCCCATCGATTCAGGGCCGAAGCAGGAAAGCTGGGAGATGCGAGGAGAGCATCGCTCCTTTGAAAGTCCTCACTGCCTTCCCACTGCCCATGGGATGAAGTCTGAGCTCGAAGACCTAAAGGCTTTCTGGCTCCAATCAATTTGGTTTTGTTTTCCATCTCTCCCTTTAACCCACCCAGCCCTTGTGGAAACACCTCAGATGTGCCATGTCCTCCGTTTCTTCTGGGCCTCTCCAGATGCTTTTCCTATAGAAGTTGTTCCCGGAATAATTTCCTCCACCCCCTGAACCTAACTGCTCCCTCCGTTCAAAGCTGCGATGGCAGTTTCCCAAGGAAAGAAGACTCCCTCCTGGCCCAGGGAGGCGGTCTCCCCTGCTCTGTGCTCCCCAGGTCTCCCTGCTTCTCCGCCAGGAAATCTCCACCTCCGCTTGAGGTTGTTTTCGTACCGAACTCTAAGTCCCCCAAGGGCGGCAATTCCTCGTTCACCCGCCTGTGAACAAATGTAACACAAACCCTATCGATGTGGAACTTCTTCCTTTAAAAATCACAGGAGAACCAACAAGATAAAACTTCTACATAGTTTGTTCTAATCATTGGTCTTTGAAAATGACTCTATCCTGTTGGAAACCCTCTCCTCTCCCATCATTGCGAGATGGGGAGACTGAAGGCCAAAGCTGAGGTCTTTCCTGGGGTATGGTGGGGAGAACTCACAGATTTCTGGCAAATGGTTCGGAATAAACAAAGATATTTCAGCGTGGGAACTTTTCTTTAGGTTGAGATGGTTTCAAAGTTTTAAATTTAATACCAAAAAAAGTGACCTTGCGTCATCGTAGATTTGATGGAAGCTGTGTCCAGACAGGATTAAGATTTGGACAGACCGATTTAAATGCCAACAATTTTATATTAGGGTGATACTTTTTTTTTTTTTTTTTTTTTTTTATCCTCACCCGAGGACATTTTTCCATTTTTTGTTCAGGTAGAGTGGGAGGGAGAGAGAGGAACAGAGAGAGAGAGAGAAACATTGATGTGAAAGGAACACATCGAGTGGCTGCCACCCGCACAACCCAACCAGGGCCAGGGACAAACTGCAACCAAGGTACGCGCCCCCAGCGGGAACCGAACCGGGGTCTCTCAGGACCGCAGGCCAACACTCTAACCGCTGAACCAAACCGGCCAGGGCTAGGGTGATACTTGTAAACTCTCTCTGGTGAAGAAAATGCCCCCCCCCCCCCCGCAATCTATTGTAGACCAATACTTTTTAAAACCACAACATCCCCCACTTGGATTTGAGGACACTGTCAAATCGCTGTAGAGTTTTCAGCAGCTCACTCTCCCCATCTGTACCTCTGTCCACAACACCCCACAGACTAGCTGAGGCCACACTTCCAGCAGCATCTCTCTGGTAGGATGTGTGGGTCGGTCTCCAGTTGCCAAAATATCCAAATGGAAAATAAAAAACAGCTGGTCACACTGTTACCCACAATGGTAGCAATAATAATTACCACTATCATTAGCATCAACCATCAATACAAAGTATTCAAGAAAGAGACTGTCCAGGCGACGAGAGGGGATAGAAGACCTGCCTTTTCATATAGTAACTCAACTTCACTAAATGGGTCACAGGACACGAATAGATGAGACCACCCCTAATTCCGAAGCGATTCCTTTGTGCGGACTAGGAGCACACTCGATCATATAGAAGAGGGACAAAAGCATCTTCTGTGGGTCAGTCTGTAACACCGAGTCATGGCTGTCATTGTTGAAAAGGGACCTTGTATCAGAAGGGGTTAGTAGAGCACATTCCCCAAATCAGATGGGTTGATTTAACTACAGACACCAAGGGTCAAGCTGCTGACTCCAGAGGTCCACATGGGCCCCACACCGCCCCTCCCTCTGCCAAGAAACGATCCCTTCAAAGAAAAGAGAACAATTCTCTGCATTAAACCAAGACCAGAGCAGAACAACGAGGAAGGAGCGACTGCATTCCATTCCTCTGGGATGTGGCTAACACCACCCAGGCTCGGGTTCTCCCAGAACACCCTGTGACACTCCTGTTGCACGTCCCGAAGGCTGGAGTCCTCGTGCTTGTGTACCTTGGACAGTTATTCCAGCCACACACAGAGGAGGCTCCACCCAGAAACCTGTAAGCTGAAATCAGCCGAGAGCACCTGCCTCTGGCCTGCGGCACTTCACTTACCTGGAGCGGTTTTGTAGCACGAGGTCCGGGAGGGCAGCGATAAGGCATTCTTTGCCCGGGAACTCGGGGTACTCTGCAAGACTTGTCTCTGCCTCTTCAGCTCCTCTTCCCTTTCCTGGGCTGCTCGGATCTCTTCTTCGATCATGGACAAAGTCCGCTGCTTCCTTGACCTCAACTTGAAGGGCCCAACCGTCACGTCGGACTCTTGACTGGCCAGGAGCAAGGCTGTGCTTCTCAGCTCAGCTGCCTCTGAGTACTTGCTGAAATAGCCCCGTTCGGGTCTGGTCTCCTCCATGTTTATTGGGCCACTGGGCTGCACTGCTGGCAATGGGGGGGAGGGTCCCCGTTCCCTGAGCACCCTGTCTTCAGTAGGCAGGATCTTTGGTAATACATCCCTTTTCTCTTGAACGGGAGAGGACACCTGAGGTGGCTCGAACATGCTCTGCGGCTTCTCTGAGCTCAGAGCCCCAGACCCCGCTTCCTCTAGAGTCGCTTTGGGTCCCTGCTGCTCTGCTCCACGCTTGTTGCTTCCAGACACAGCTCTATCCACCTGCTCGGCTATGGCTTGTTGAATGGCGTTCTGCACCAGGAGACCAGCCTGGTATTCCAAGGAGTCATCAGCCGACGGAGAGTCTCGCAGCGTGGATGAAGGGGAGTAGAAACCATGATCACTAAATGACTTGGAGACACCTTCTCCTCGGCCTTCTGAGGGGTTGTCAGTTTGCGGAGTCTGGGGCAGAGAGAAATCGGCCAGTGAATTCTCCTGGAGGGCGTTGGTTGTCTCGTTGGAGGCCCCGCTGTCACTGATGTTGTCCATGCTGAAATCATTGGACAGGGTCTCCAGGACGGTGGTGTCCTGGGACCTCACTGACAATTCATCCAGACCGGAGTCAAGCTCCTCTTGGGTCAAAGAGACATTGACGGACCTTGAAAACTGATCCAAAATCCCAGGATCATCATCCTTGACCACGGTGAGGACGGCCCTGGCACTTGTGAACTCTCCGTCCTCTGTCCACAGTTTGGACAGGGGCCCGCGTTTGGAGGCCTCGCTGTAGGGCCCTTCCCGGCCCTGCGGAGCTGCGCTGCCCTGGCCCCCTCCCGGAGACTGGCTCTCCGGGGCACAGTGGGCTTTCTGCCCCTTGGCTGCCAGGGCACCGCTGTCTTCCAGAGGACCCCCGATGGAGGCTGGTCTCGAGAGGGTCAGTGGCTTGTCTGAATTGATTGAACCCAGAGGCCTGTAGAAGGGCTTGATGGAGAAGAGCCTGGGTGTACTCTGCCCCCTGGCCGCCGTTTGCCTGGAATTCTCCATGAGCTGGAACTGTTTGCGAGCCGCAGAGAAATCTATCTGCTCCGTGACGACGTCCTCCTTCGCCTTGCCAGTCCCGCGGGGAGCTTGCTGAGGGGAGGCAGGGGCCGTGCCGAGCGGGGCGGGCTGCTGCTGCTGCATCAGCAGCTGCTCCTGCTGCACCCTCCTCTCCCTGCGCTCCTTGTACTTCTTGTGCGACTCCAGGTGTTCCTCGTCCAGCTGCTCCTCGATGGTTTTCTCCTGGGGAGGGTTCCACCATTTGGCTGCGATGCCGGGATTCTTCTTCATGGCCTGACTCCGGATGAGTTCTCGTCTTTCCTTCTCCAGCTCCAGCATCTCTTCTGTGGGCCTCACCTTTCGGACACAGTACTGTTCTTTCTCACTCCCGTCGTCCTCGAAGAGCTTGGAGGGCTTCTTGTCCTCGTGGAAGGCACGCAGCTCGAACTTGGCTTCCTTCTTCAGCGTGGTGAGCGTGAACTCCCCGTCTCGGGACGAGCACCACGAGCTGGTGGAGGAGCTGGGGCTCACGGGCGCCTGCAGGCTGTCCCCCAGCACATCTCGGGGGGGGTCAGGGGAGTGGCCGTTCGCGCCTTCACGCTCTGCCATGGTGTCAGAGTTGCTTCTACTGAGCTCAATGTGAGGAGGCACCTGCCTGCCAGTCGCCCTCTTGGTGGGCTCTGGATGGACGGCTGTGCCAGGCTCCGGGGAGGACGTGCCGTTGTAGGTTCCGTCCACAGCGGAATCACAGCAGTTGGCCTCGAGCACCTCGTCTAGATAGCGGATCTCACTGGCCACGTCGTTATCCAGAGATTCATGGTGATCAGCGAGGAGGCCGTTGTGGGGGGGCGAGCAGAAGGGGGAGGGGTGGTCCATGGAATGTGAAGTGGAGGCGATCCCAGGAACACTTTTACATTCTGCCACGGAGACCTCAATTTCCATGTTTTTGTGATCTGGGGGGAGAGGGCTGATCGCAGGATCCAGGGGGTTGGCACTACTGTGGTCTCTCTCGCTTGTTAGCCGGACATCATCCTCGGAGAGCTGGGGGGGCTTCTGGAAGAAAGAGGAAAGGAAAGTCAGGGTTAGACACTATGTCTCGTCTGGATGTGGACACTGAAAAATTAACTGATGACTGACAGGAGGGAACGCGGAAACAACAATGCCAAGTTCCTTCTAACGATGCCTCGCGGGGTCGTTTTGTGGTGCGAACAGGTACCTACACCTCTCCATTTCACAGACCCCACTTCTTTACTGGGTGTCCAGAGAACGTGCCACCAATGCTAGTCCCCGCTTTTTAATTTAAATGTAAATCAGGACTCAGAGCATCTGAAGACGAACTCGAACATCTCCTTAAGCACAACATGTTATATAGCAATTTGTACCCGTCTTCCAAAACCGTCACAGCCAACTACTGCAGAAATGCAACAGGAGTATCACGTGTCCCCAGATGTAAGAAGAAGGTGAACAAATCTCCTTGAAAACATATGATTCTCTGCTAAATGGAATACAATCAATCTGGAGACAAGAGACTTTTTAGAAGTTTCTTCCAAAATAAAATACCGGAAAACCGTCGATTCCTCCAGCGACTCCTTCAGGCTCCAGAGCCCCGCTGCCACGACCGTCTGACCAGAGGCCTTATAAACACCAGCCCAGAGCCATGGACTGTCCAGCTCTGTTCTCAAAACCACACTCCTTAGTTGAGGAATGAGTGTCGCTTTGAAAGGCTAGTGTCTGACGGCACCTCCCTGCCAGTTCCTAAAATGCTTTACATGTGATAGCTCCAGTTTTGTGGTTAAGTAAGAAAACCATATCTTCTCCATTTTTTAAAATACATCATCTTTGCCGTGACTGGTTTGGCTCAGCGGTTGGAGCGTCGGCCCGTGGACCAGAGTCCCGGGTTCAGTTCCTGATAAGGGCACGTACCTCGGTTACGGTTCGTCCCCGGCCCGGCTGGGGTTGTGCGGGTGGCAGCCAGTCAATGTGTCTCTCTCACATCGATGTTTTCCTCTCTCTCCCTTCTGCTCTATCTGAAGATAAATGCAAAAATGTCCTCAGGTGAGGATTAAAAAAATGAATAAATGAAAATAAAATAAAATACATAATCTTTTTTTTGCACCGGTTACCAATCCCATGTAATTTTGTTATTGACAAAATTAGTAAGATTCGTTTCAAATTCTAGGATAACTGTTTTTCCAGACCAAAGGACTGTGAGTTGTGTCAGATAATTCAGCAGTACATTATGAGCTGAACTTGAGTCCCCTGCTCTGACACCTCGGTCAGCTTCGTTTCCCTGTCTCAGATCGAGCGTGTGCCTAGGATTACCAACAGCACAGTGCCAAGTTGCAAGGGGGTATATATTTTCATTTATTTAAGTTTTAAACAATTTAATTATTATTATTATTTTAATCCTCACCGGATTATTTTTCCATGGACCTTCAGATAGAATGGGGGAGAGAGGAGAAACATCGATGTGAGTTAACTGGAATCAAGGGCTGACGCTCTAACTGCTGAGCCAAACCATCCAGGGCAGTTTTAAACAAATTTAAAGGTTCACAATATAATATTAAAACCACCTTAAGATGATTCTCGGGGATTAATTTCCAAATCCTTGCAAGGAAAATGGATAATTACAGATTTGTTCATGAGACCTAGAAAAACAGGCGTTCACCTGTGGGCTGTGTATGACGTCAGACGCTGGAAACTCCACGGTTATCCTGCCGGGCTATAAGGCTACCCCTGAACTAAAAGGCTCCCCACGAGCTGGGGATTTCCTTCACTCCTCGTTTCCACACCCCCCTCGAGACTTAAGTCAACCAAGTAATATACATTCCTTCTTTAGTAACAGGCAAGAGAAGATGGTGTTGGATAATCTGGTCTCGGTCTGGTCTTTGTCAAAGCCTGGTACTTAATACCATAATAACTTTATTTTTGACCATCATCAACTCATGATCTTTTATCCTGATAATGAACTGAAGAGGCATATCAGAGAAGTTTATTGTTTTAAAAACCTTCACTAGCCCTGGCCAGTTTGGCTCAGCGGTTGGAGCGTCGGCCTGCGGACCAGAGAGTCCTGGGTTCGGTTCCCGCTAGGGGCACGTACCAAAAAAATAAATAAAATGATATAAAATAAAATAAAATAAAAACATTCACTAAACTTTCTTTTGTTAAAGCAATTATCAGTGACTTCTACGTCATTAAGAATTACAGAAGATTTGAATGCCTGAATGTATTGACTGCCATTTGATTTCAAGTAAACCTAGGTCAAAATTAGCCCACCCCATGGAAAGCTACTACTGGAATAAACAGACCAATAAAAAGAGACGCACAGTACCACTAAGGAGAAATCCGGTTATCCTTGACCCTCCCACTCCCAGCTTTATTCAACCAACGACTTACTAATAATATTCTTCATGGGAATAAGTGGGACTTTCCTCCTATCCCTTGGGGGGGGGGTATAATACTTTCGAATAGTTGACATAAGAGGGAAGAGGGCAGTCTAACATTAAAGGAAGCTAGAAGGCAAATCATTAATTCTATAGTTCATGAGTCACAAACCCGCTCACGGAACATGCAGGAGGCTTGTTCTGCAGGCCCATAGTAAACCACCAGCAGCAACAAGCTCCAGGAGCCCTGGCCGCTGCGGCTCAGTGGTTAGTGTTGGCCGGCACACTGAAGGGTTGTGGGTTCGATTCCCAGTCGAGGGCACATACCTGAGTTGCTGATTTGATCCCAGGCCCCAGTTGGAGTGTGTGTGGGAGGCAGCCGATGGATGTGTGTGTCTCTCTCACACAGATGTTTCTCTCTCTCCCCCTCCCTCCCTCCCTCCCTCCAACTCTCTAAAAATCAATGGAAAAAATATCCTTAGGTGAGGACGAACAAAAAACAAGCAGCTCCAGGAGACAACTTTTTCTTTAAAAAAATTAAATTTTGGGGCCTGACGCGTTAACTTTGAAAAAAAAAAATTTAAATTTCCCACACTTCTTAGGAAGCCATAAGTCTATTTTGGAGTTTACTTAGAATAGTGGGTGAAGTGAAAACCTTGCCTGTATTGATCCCCTACAGATCGGGCTAACCGAACCCTTCACCACATTTGTCAAGAACACTTTTCGCCTCCTCACGTCAGTATGTCTCTTTGTCCTGGACACATCCCAGTTCGGTGTTTGATGACCATGAGCAGATGTCCTGACGGCTTTCTTTGTCAGAACTTAAAAACTGTATCAGTTCTTTCCAAGGCGTGCTTTCTGAACCAGCAACAACTGTTCAATACAAAATTTCAAGTCTGAGAATAGCATCTGACGGTACATTTTTGCAATGTTTAAAAAAAAAAAAAAAAACTACCTTCCCCTTTTGGTCAGAAATCATGAGTCTATTAATCATGTCATCTGTGATGTGTCCAGCTGAGATTTTAAAATGCTAACTATTAGTTAAAAGCCAAAGTCTGCAGTCCCCGTGTAGTGTGAGATGGTTCTTTTCCAACACATTTGAAAAAATATATTTAGACACTGGAGGGTGTAAACAGGCTCTTCTTTCTGTTAGTTATGTGTGCCCCGCCCCCTCCTCCTCTTTCCATCAATTCAGAAAATCCTTCCTGACACTTCCATATTCTTCAGGGAGCAGCAGCCCTAAGCTCTAAACCCTAACCAGGGTAGAAACACTTAAAGAATAAACAACTCTGCATTACTGACTCACAAGCATGCATCAGATGTCCTGAGCTTAACAAAGGAGCAAATTCTCAGCAGGAAGAATTCACCTCCATGCAAGATAGCCCCGGTGTGATCAAAGCCACCAGCGACCAGACCAGGTAAATGGAAATGGGCTGGAAATCCCACAGTCTGAGTTTGGCAGGAGTCTGGACTTGACATCATCCATGTCTTGTTTAAACCAACAGATGTTTATTGCTTCCTTTGAAGATCAGAAAGACCAGAATGTTCTCCATGCTTCAGGTCATGTGAATCCGATTCCAGATTCAGATAAAATGCATATTCAATAAATGGACTGGAGCCCTGGCCGGTTTGGCTCAGCGGTTAAAGCGTCAACCTTCGGTCCAGAGAGACCAGGGTTCGGTTCCCACTAAGGGCATGTATCTGGGTTGCAGTTTGTCCCCGGCCCTGGTTGGTCGTGCGGGTGGCAGCCACTTGATGTGTCCCTTTCACGTCGATGTTTCTCTCTCTCTCTCTCTCTCTCTCTCTCTCTCTCTCTTCCTCTCTCTCCCTCCCACTCCATCTGAGCAAAAAAAAAAAATGTCCTCGGTTGAGGATAAAAAAAATAATAAATGGACTGGAAAGTCTTTTCTGGGGTAAACTGTGCCCCAATGCAAAACAAACAAACAAACAACCCCCCTCTCCAACACACACACACAAACATGAAAGAACCCCCAAACTGGACTTTCAAAGGTCAGAGAAGACCTAGGGGGCTGCGGGGCCCGCGGGAAATCATCAGCTTGCCCCACCAACACTGCAGGTGCAGCCCTAACAGCAGGGCGCATAATACCTGCTTCCCAGAATAGCGGACAGCTGGTCAGGATGTCTACTCCACCATTTACTTTAAATACTGCAGGGGCGTGTGTCCGAAATTAGTTTAAATTCTAGCCCAGGAGAAGACAGCCATCCTCACCAGGAACACACGCTCCAGGAGTGGTCAGCCAGGATCGAATTAGAAAGTCCAAGGTTCCGAGAAGGCCCCTCCCTTCCTCTGGGAGTTGAAGTCTCCTTAACTCCCACAGGACCCCTGAGGGCTTGCTAATTGGCATAATTAAGGCGATAAATGGATTTTCATCAGTGAAAGTAATGGCTTGTCAATTCGCATAATAAAATGTTAGCAACTGGTGAAATGGGTTGTGTTCAACTTTGTGGATTAGAGATATTTTCCACCCTTCCCTGTGCAGGGTATGTAAGCAGGGTGAGCGCTTTGGGGCCGTGCCTGAAGTCTGAGAACTAGACAGCACTGTGCCCAGCCTTTGGTTCAGAGGATGGTGCGCGTTGAACACCAACCGTGTAGTGAGAGAATCCTGCCTTGGGAAACTGCCACATCTGTCTTCATGCAAGGTGGTGTTG